GCAGAGTTAAAATTGAGGGACGACCTCAACACTCCACCCCCTCCCAGGCGAAAAAAACATAACCCCATATAAAAAAAAAAAAAAAAAAAAAAAAAAAAAGATGAAACTGATGTCTGTGTAAGGCCAGAGTAATCATCTTTATGTGCATTATCCAAAGAAGATAATACTCTTTGTAAGGTGCTCAAAAACTCCAGGTTTTTATTAAAGGGCCAGGCTCTTCCTGGTTTCAAACAGTATTTGTGGTTACTTTGGCAGATGAAGCACATTTTTCTCATGCCCTGTGTTTTTGGACATGCAGTATATCAGTGTTCAGTGGAAATAAGCATTCTGTTATTTTTTTCTTAGCACATTTTTTGTCTTCTCTTCCCTTCGGTTATGTTGAAAACTATGTGTTGGATCTATTTTGTAGTTATGACATTAGATCTTCGTCTGAGATTATCTAAAATAGTTGGTTTTGATTACAATCTCTTTTTTTTGAATCTGCTAACACAAGCTCATGTTCATCTAGAAAATGCACTTTCTCCTCAAAGTCATATATCACATGAATTTCCTTTGAGTTCGTTCAAATCAACTAGAAATTAACAAATTTCAAAAAAGAAAAAATATACTAAAATGTAGTCAAAGCTTTATGAGAATACTTTATTTGCTATATCTCAACTGTACAGTGAGTAGGTTTATGACAGCAGAGTATCAAAAACAAAGTGCACCAGATTCTTGTTTTCATTCTTGATAGGTTCTAAGTTCATTAAATCAGTCTTGTAGTCCCTCAGAGAGCCACAAAACCAAGTGTTCCTCTTATTATCTTGCTTAGCTCACTTTGGGTAAAATGCGTCAAACGGCAAAATGAAAAATTTTAACATATGCAAGTCCATAAACATAATCCATCACATAAATGGAACCAAAGACAAAAACCACATGATTATCTCAATAGACGCAGGAAAGGCCTTTGACAAAATTCACCAGCCCTTCATACTAAAAACTCTCAATTAATGAGATATCGACAGAATGCATCATAAAATAATAAAAGCTATTTATGATAAATCTACAACCAATATCACATTGAATGGGCAAAAGCTGGAAGAATTCCCTTTGAAATCAGTCACTAGACAAGGATGCCCTCTCTCACCACTCCTATTCAATATAGTATTGGAAGTTCTAGCCAGAGGAATCAGGCAAGAAAAAGAAATAAAGGGTATTCAATTAAGAATTTTTTTTAAATTATGTATTTGTTTGTTTGAGATGGAGTTTCACTCTTGTTGCCCAGGCTGGAGTGCAATGGTGTAATCTCGGCTCACTGCAACCGCTGCCTCCCCGGTTCAAGTGATTCTTCTGTCTCAGCCTCCCAAGTAGCTGGGATTACAGGCATGTGCCACCACTCTCAGCTAACTTTTTTTTTTTTTAGTAGAGATGGGGTTTCTCCATGTTGGTCAGGCTGGTCTCAAACTCCCGACCTCAGGTGATCCGCCCGCCTCGGCCCATCAAAGTGCTGGGATTACACCGTGCCCGGCCAAAAAATACTTATTTTTATAGTTGACTGACATTCTCCCTATGTATAAGTTATAACTTGAAAATTATGACTGTTCCCAAGATTCCTAACTTTCAAGCCACATGAGAGTGACTCATGGGATCCTTGTGGCCACAAGCAATTAATGAGGCTTCCAGATGTGCCTAACATTTATTTCAGGGGTTAGGACAAGACTCCAATATTATCTGCAACGTGTGGAGAGAGGGTGGTGTGTCCATGTAAGTATACTGTAAGCCAGAAGGTTGCTGAAGATGTTACACAAATTTAATTGCTGATATTAAACTAATCCTTCCAAAGAAATTCCCAGCAAGCAGAAAAAAGTAAATCCGTTGGCGTTTTTATTGAGAGAGATTACCAGGAGTGAAAGATGCCTGCTTGAAGCAATAAAACAACGGGAAGAATATAAATTTGAGCTTCTTTCTACCTTATGAGGAGTGAATTAAAAACTGCCCTAGAATTTCTTTCAACCTCAGTTTTCTTATTTCCAGAAAAATCCTCCACAAATCCCACATCTACCAGTGAACCATTTTTTATTCCCTCTCTTCCCCATGTTAAAAATAATCTCTTACTTTTCTTAGCTCGCTCAGCATTTCTTTGTGCTTTTCATGATATTATAATTCTTAGCACTTTATTCCAAATATTCTAGTAAGTTACAGATACACCTTAAATTTTCCCCGTTGAACCCCTGAAGGCCAGCAGGGTCCATGATTCATCTTCTGATTCCCCAAATTGCCTGTGCAAGTTCCTTTTAAAATTGGCGCTCTAAAAATTGTTTATACATTTCTCAATTATTTGTTGAAAAACCTACTTTGTGCCAGCCCCTGAGCTGGGCCCTGGATAGCCAGTAGTACATGAAGCAGAGACAAAATGAAAAAATGACCATACCAAATACTGAAAGCCAGAACAGTGCCTACTCTTCTGTTTGTGGTATGTGTACGCTCTGATACAATTCTGTTGTATAATTTTGATGAACAAGTCAACACAGCATTCCACGTGACATCAATAGCCAACCACAGTGTCCCTGGGCTGTT